TGTCATTGATCAAGAAGCTTTGGGTAATGGTTTGAAATACTGCATCTTTAGAAGGATTTTCCAAGCATTTTTCTTCCAGTGTCTGGAGTCTTTCTGGGATCGTAATTATAAGTACCCTAAGTTTAGCCTCTGCTTTCAATGCCCACAGGTACTACTCAGATGAGGACTGTCTCCTTCTTCTGTCTTTCTCCACCCATACTGGGGAACCTTGAAGCACTAAATATTTAAAACAAAATTAAATCAAGTTTAGGCGGTGAATCTTAAACACAGTTCTCTTTTCTTTACCTAGCCTTCCTGAGCATTTTATCAGTGACTTAGAAAAATGACATGCCTGTCACATTTGCTGCTGATGTGTATTATAATCAAAACCCAAAAAGATACGAACAATCTGAAATGATGGGTTGAACTTGTCAAGATACATTTTTCAAAAGAGACAAGCTACAAGTATTCCTATCTGGGTTTCAAAACACAACTGTAAGAATACATAGAGAATTGCAGACCATGGCTTATTGATAGCATATGTGTGAAGATAATTTAAGGGTTTTTAATAATTGTGAGCTCAATACCAATCAGTAGTAGAATGTGGTTGACAAAAAAAACTCCTGTGATTTTTTTGTTTCATTAATGGAAACAGCAAGAATAAGAGATGTATATTGCCCATTTTTCAGCAACAGATATTTACTGAGTGCCAAGTTCATTCTGGGCAAACCCCACCTTCATATTTGTGTTGGTTCTCTCCTTAGTCAGACTTTGAGCAATGGGAACAGATTGAGAAAAAAGTGCAAGCTGTCTAGGAAAATCACAGTCTTTTTTGGAAGGACATAGGGTGAAGAGCAGTGATTGACTTGGAACAAAAACAGGGACAGTGGTATGAAAGTTAGCAGTGATGGCAGTCTTTAGAGGCCTGTCTCATATTAGGGATAAGAATTTGGCTTCATTGTGACTGCAGGAGAGATATTAGACTAGTGGCTAGAAACTGCAGAGAGAAAATTTTAGAGGCAAACTTTACAGTGCAAGAACTCTGCTTAACAATGAAAGAGAGTTGTGTCTTGATTTGCTGATGTTTCATAACCCTTAGGGCATGTCATAGAAGAGATTCAAATTTAGGCAGATAGTTAGACTAAACGTCCTGTATAGCCTTTTTATCCAGGAGAGAGTTTGATTCCTTTAATGATTCATCATCACTCAGCTGAAAGGAAATGGGATTCATAAGGATTGTAAACAGTTTTGGGAAATCCATTCATACATTCCCTTTAATAACCTGTGGTTTGCTACCATGCCTACACATCTGAGAATCTGAATTTCCTGTACTACTATTAAATCTAATTCTGCATTTGCAATTGAATGGTTAGGAAGGAATTTTTTTTTTTTAAATCCATCTCTTGATTTCTTTGCATTTCCATCTATTACAGCTTTATAGCTTTTCCAATCCCGTGGATGTTAGACTCTGTTGGTGTGTGTATGAGTGCATGTGTGTAAATCTGTGGAAGAAAAAACTCAAGTTCCAGATAATCTGTTCTTGTAAAAAATTTAGCTCAGTAGGTTGAATAAAATGTGCCACGTTTCAATTACTTTAAGGGAGATGGAGAATTAGAGTTGCATAGGCAGAAGAAATTTGTTTTCTGGATACCAAACATGAATTTTATGAATTAACTGATAGAGCATTTTTAAAAACAAGGTTCAGTTAATGGTGTATGGGATATGGCACCCATATTAGTGCGATTGTATATAAAGGACCCACTAAAACCTTTCAGTCTTTGTAAAGAAAAGATGTCTTCTGACTGATGACGCTTGAAAATGCAGGGTGCTCCATTTCACGAGGTAGTATGTGTAACAGTTGAAGAGTGTAGACCTAGAACCAGTGTTTACAGTACAGAATTTGATCTCCCTGCCCCTTAGTTTCCTCATACATCAAAAGAGAGTGTTAATAATAGTACCTGCCACAGAGATTGGTTGTGAAGAGGAGTTAATGTATTTGTAAAAGATTTAGAATGTGCCTGATGGCTAGAAGTGCTTTATAAAATCTTCACTATATTGTTACTGAGGAGTCCTGGTTGTGTTGCTGTGGGCTAATGCATCAGACTGCAAAGTCCTTTGAGAACTGCAAGGTCTGTGGTTCAAGCTCACCAGCTGCTCCTTGGAAACCCTATACATGGTCTCTATGGGTTGGAATCGACTTGACGGCACTTAACAACAACATTGTTACTGAATGTGCCTCTATAAATATATTTCTACCTAGCTTCAAAGTTGAAAAGTTAGTTTTTTTAAAAATTACTGTATGACAATGCAAATTCAAATTTTGTTTTTTTACTGGCTAAGTTGTCTGTTAGCATTAGGATTATCATTAGAAATGCAAAATGTTTGCTTCTGTTTCAAAACCAATGAAGAAAACAGTTTTATACTCTTCAGAAACCTCCTTTGGTTAAGAGGTAGCCTCAGTTATTTGGGGCAGGCTGGTTAAAAGTTCCAGCAGAATGATTAGTAAATGGTAGTAAGAAAAGTTTTCATATACAGTAAACTTACATTGTGGGAGAGTTTTGTCCCTATTGAATCTTTATTTTTTTTACTCTATATAAGTTTCTAAAATTAAGTTTCCTATCTCTAGCTATAATACCATGTCTCTTCTGGCAATGTTTAAGTGTGCTAGCATAATTTGATGTTAATATAATAACTACAGTAGATAATTTCCTGTATCCATGTGATGTTCTCCTAGTCTCGGCTGCCCTCTAGAGTTGATGTGAAAAGATCCTATAGTATTCATTTTCATTCACTGTGTCCGACATCTAATAGTACTTAATAAATTGAGCAGATGAATGACTCTCTTCTCCTTGACACTTGTAACATTTTTGTGACTCCTAATCCATTAACTAAATTATGAAAATACTAAATTCATTCCTAAAAGGTGTTTCCAACTTACATATATAGATATATAATAAATTCTATTTGCTGTGTGATTAAGAGAAATACAGTGCAATAATGGAAAGTTTACTACTTAAATGTTCCTGTTAGTAGCCAGCTGAAATTCTTAGCTCTGTCACCAGAATTGTGTCAGTGGAGATAATGGGAAGACTGATGTAGATGTGTCCCAGCCCAGATTCCTGTATTATCAAGTTTGCCTTCTGTCCTTTCATGTCATTTCCATCAGCTGCTCTTTCTACGCCCCACCTTTGGTTCCCTTACTCACTCCCGTCTCCTGCTATATCTTTCCATCTATTGCTTTTCTATGACTTAACATTTTTAGGATTGTCTTTGCCCTGAAGGCACTGGTTGGGCCTTGGGCACTGTTCCCAGTTCTCCCACACCAGCACAAAATGAAAAATTACTTCTTATACCAGCTGTGAGTAACCTGATGTTTAAGAGCAGAGGAGGATAAGGAAGATTTGAGGGGGTCTGTAGGTCAAAGCTCAACCTTGCCTTTGTGAACCAATAACCACACTCATGTCTGGAATTGTGGGAAAGTTCAGGAGAGATCAGAGCTATAATTCTATAGAGATTTAAGTGACTTCCTTTATGCTTGATTCGTTGAGATAAATAAGTTCTCTCACAAAGAATCTGATATATATTGAAAACTTTTAGTTATTTCTCAGCCCTTTTAGAATCTTCAAAATAATGAATGGCACTTTTGTTATTATTAAAACTTATCTTCATTTAAGATGGAGATATGAGAAGCTAAACAATGAACGACAGATCCCTTCATGTATAATGAGTGCCCATGAACCTACCACCCACTGCCATGGAGTCAATTTCAACTCATAGTGAACTACAACCATAGTGAGGGCCAAGTTAGTAGTCCCAGCTGTACTTGTGCCACCAAATAGACATTTCCTTGCGAGTTATAATTTGTGGCTACTATTAGAAGATTTTTGCCACGGCTTTATTTATTTTTAATGTGATTTGACCCTTAGATTGCATATATCTTTGAATTTTCAAGTGGAGGATTGCTATTCTGATTTTCTAGTCCTTCTTCTAGCTTCTCTCCTATTATTACTAAATAGATATTTTTATTGAGTTGCATGCTATGTCCTATTCCTTCCTACTGATCTGTAAGCTGTTCCATTGGCTTTCTTTCTGTTTTCTGCTGCTTTCTTGCTTCATAATTGAAGGGAGGATTCAGACCCATTCAGGTAACTAACTACTGGTTCTGCATGGCCTCATTATTATGCTAACCCCTTTAAAATTTGTTACAATACAGTTGATTGTTTTCTGCTGAATGGGTACATTCACAATGAAAATTCACTATTGGGATATTGTCTCAAGGCTTTTAAGCCTACTAAGAGAACCATGGGTAATCACAAATACTGGCTGCCTGCTACTTAGGCCATTTGAAAATTTGAGCTTTGCTCATTCCAGACCATCCCTTGGTCTGCCTAGAGTCTTCACTTCTTCACTACCACCCCCCACCCGCCCCCCACCCCCTACAACTGTCTAGAAAGCTAAATCAGGTTCTGTTTTAATATGAGGTCCCATCTTTTTGAAAAGGAAAGCTTAGTTTAGCATGTGAAAACTTTAGAGATGGTTTTAGTTTAGCTTTACCCTAATGGACTGAAATAAAAGGTTTTCTGTGTAAAGAGGTTTTTATGTCTAAAGCAGTGGATTTTGGAGGGGAACTACTTTTAATTTTCAATAAATTGTTAATGAGCCAGCTACTGTTTTTGAAAAAATTGATGCTTTTATGCATTAGAACAGCTTTGAGAAATATACCAGGTATCCCTTTTGTTATAATTCATCAAATGTTTTTATATTTATAATTATGGTACAGAACTTTTACTTAAAAATAGCCAAGACTTCATCTTGAAACAGTTGAAAATGCCCTACAGTTTTCAATACTGATCAAACTTGACCTAGTGTAGGATGTTTGTCGTGAGCTCAGTCTGTTCATTTACGTTGCGCTTCTAATTCAAGTTGATCAGATTTTTATTAGTGGGGGAAAAGGGGAAAGTGGAATGTAAAAAATTATATATTCCCCTTTGCAAAACCAAATAATATTTTCCCCTTCCCAGTTTTTCCAGAGGCCTCAAATACAGCCTCCTAGAGCTACCATCACGAACAGCAGTCCTTCCATCCGTCCTGGTGCACAGACACCCACTGCAGTGTATCAGGCCAATCAGCACATCATGATGGTTAACCATCTGCCCATGCCGTACCCAGTGCCCCAGGGTCCTCAGTACTGTATACCACAGGTAAAGTAGCTCTCAGAGAGAGCAGGGAGGGTGGGTGGTTTTTGGTGATGTATGAACTTTTTTCTTAGTTAAAAGTCTAACCATTCTATCGTTGGCCATAATACTATAAAGAGATGTTTCTACATCTCATAACTTACTCTATTCTAAGGCAATAGAGAAATTGTTTTTATTTCTTAGCCTCTCCCACAATCACTCTAAAATGGACTTTGTAACTATGCTATTCCTGTGAGGTCCTTTAAATGTCATTGAAAGCCTGAAATCATTTTACAGTGAGCTGGTGTCTATGTACTTATTTGCTGAATGGCTTTATCTAAAGCACATCTTTCTCTTCATTCTCATTGCATCTTGATGGCAAGCAAGCATTGTGAATGTGTTTAGCCAAATTCCTTCATCTCATTTAAATGATTCTTTGAAAATGTACACTCATATCCACGCAATTTTATTTCTAAATAAATAAGCTGCAAGCCACATGCTAAGGTACACGTGCTATTTGTTAAACGTGTATACTTTTTTTGTTCTAGTACCGTCACAGTGGCCCTCCTTATGTTGGGCCCCCACAACAATATCCAGTTCAGCCACCGGGGCCAGGTCCTTTTTATCCTGGACCAGGACCTGGGGACTTCCCAAATGCTTATGGTAAGTAGGAAAATCAAGGCATTTGTGCTTGACTGTTATGTCTATTTTGTTGTTTGATGGATCAACTTGGGCAATGATATTTACTAGTTGAAAGGATTTTTTTTTAACGTTGTGATTTTGCCTGAATGCTGCATTTTAGAGACTATTTTACAAGGAAAGAGTATTACAGAAATATATTTAGGCACTGATTCCTTCAGAAGAAACTGTTGTTCTTCTGGAAAAGAGCCCATATCTCATAGTTCTGACATCTGCTCCTGATGCACCAGTGCCTAGAATTTTGCTGATGGCATACGTTTAGGTTGTCTCCCATGATTTCTTTTTCTCCAAGTAGTCCTTGGTTGGCACAGATGTTTAAGTGTTCAACTACTAACTATTAAATTGGTGGTTCAAAACTACCCAGAGACACCTTGGAAGAGAGATTGGCAATCTGCTTTTCAAAGATCACAGTTGAAAATCCTGTGAAGCTCAGTTCTACTCTGACACACATGGGGTCCCCATGAGTAGGAACTGACTCAGTGGCAATAAGTTAACATCTTAGAGTGTTCATTTTGTTCATTTTCCCCACTAGAATGTATAATGCCCATGAAGGCAGGGATGTCTGTTTCTTTTATTTGCTGCTATATCTCCAGCACCTAAAATAATGACTGAGGAGTATTTGGAAAATATACATTGACTGAATATGACTCAGTGACTCTATGAATCCTTATCTGCAAAATTATGATAAGTTTTATGTCATGAAGAGGTTTAGTTTAAAATAAAGTACCTTAAAAATTAAAACATTTTAATGTAGAGAAACAAGTGCCAAGTTTGTACTTGTTGTTTGAGCCAATACTGAACTAAGGAGTAATGAAAATTATTTACTTTATTCAACAAATTTATACCATAAGCTGTATTTGTTTTATTCCAAAGAAAGTGAATTATAAGGGATACAATCAATGACTACTAGGAAACTTAAAACTTGAAGATTTAATAAACATCGATGTCTTCTACAACCAGCAAAGACATTAAAATGTTAACTTCTTTTATAGAGAAACATGTTCTATCTTATCTGTTATAGCTAAACCTTTATCCATTAACCAATTTCATAACAATTAGGATTTAGTGACTCAATTCAAAATCTTTGCTGCTGAATTGCTAACCCAAGAAAGTTTTTCTTCAGTTTTAAGGCGAGATAGGCAAAAGCAACCAAGTGTTATCTGGTTTTCCACCTTTTAGAGAAGAGGAAAGTTTTCTATCACCTTGGTTACCAAAAGGTCAACAATTACTCTAGCAGATGAGAAGAAAAGGGGCAAGGAAACTAGAGTACAAGAAATGTAACAACCAGAATATGATAAAAGACAATGTTGACACAGTGAAAATTTTGACTAATGTGTCACTGAACGGTTCGTGTAGAAATTGTCAAGTGGGAACCCAATTTTCTGTGAAAGCTTTCATAGAAAGCACAGTAAATATTATTTTAACAGGAGAAAGTTGATCCAGTATAGCCTTGTGAAACTGCTGTTTCCAAATTATTATTTAATTGAACTTCTTGAATGGTCAAACTGTAAAATGAGATGATCTCAACTGAAGTAAATATGCTAAAATTGACAGCATTTCTCAGTTTCAAGTTGCAAAGTAAGTGCAGTTGTGTCTTTTAATACTCCAAATTATTTAAAAATATCTCAGTGAATCGTAGTTTGCTGTGTATATAATATGGTATACTGAATTATTTGTGTAAATTGACTCAAAACTTTTCATAATTAAAATTCTTATTATTTTAAGCTTCTGCCTGCTCTCTCTATTGCTGTTAGTACTGCTGCTGCATTATAATATAGATGAGTATATCAACCAACCAAACTGACTTCAACTTATGTGCAGTCCCATGTGTCTCAGAGGAAAACTGCCCTCCTTAGGATTTGCAATAGCTGATTTTCTGAAGTAATATTATCAGACCTTTCATCCAAAGAATCTTTAGGTGGACTTGAACCTTCAGCCCTCTAGTTAGCTGCCACCTTTAAGTTAGTTTTTCACCACTAATTTTTTTGTGCTAACCTGGGTATTTAAGGAGCCCTGGTAGCATAGTGAATTACGAGCTGGGCTGCTAACCAGAAGGTCAGGAGTTCAAATTTAGCAGTTGCTTTGCAGCAGAAAGGTGTGAGACTTTCTGCTCCTGTAAACGAGATTTACAGCCTCTAAGGTAGCTATGGGTCGGAACCAACTCGACAGCAGGCAACAACAATACCCTATAGTGGGTCACTTTCAGTCAGAATCGACTCGAGTGGCACATAGCCACTACCAACCAACCTGGATACTTAAACACAACGTTTACCATTGTTTCCATGGAAAATGCAAGGCTTTGAACATGTTTTGAAAGATTTCCAATATGTAAGATATTGTGTTAATGGAATATAGATATTAAAATACTGCCCTACCTTTCAGGATCTTGATTTTTGTTTATGTTGGGATCTTACTGATGAGACGAAGTCTTAAATGTTAACTAAAGCAATGATATCCAGATCTTTTGATATCAAGGGCAAGTAAAATAAACTAAAAGTATAGTAATGTGGAAACATTTTTCTAATTTTGCCTGTAAGGTCTTTAAAGAAAACTTGCCATTTGTTGTTATTTTCATAAGAAGGTTGTTCTAACAACAAAAGGATAGACAAACTATTTCATAACAGTTTACAAAAAAAATCATCTTGTAAAACATATACTTGTGTGAAGATGTGTGTTTGTGCTTTTAGTATTTATTATGAAATAAATTTGTCATAATAAAGTGGAACCTTTTCTTTAGACTACAGTTGGAAATCACTGATCTAGATCAAAGGTCAGCAAACTTTTTCTGTAAAGGGCCAGTTAGGAAATATTCTAGGCTTTGTGGGCCATAGAGTCTTTGTCTCAACTCTGTCTTTGGAAGGTAAAAGCAGGCATGTTGTTGTTTTTAAGTGCCTTCAAGTTGGTCCTGACTCACTGCGAACCCTGTATTGGGTTTCTAAGGAGTGGCTGGTGAGTTTAAACTGTGGTTCAAACTGACAATGCAGCTCAGTTGTTTATCCCACAACACCACACCAGAATGCCAAAGCAGGCATATGCAATTAAACTTTCTTTGTAAAAAGAGGTGGTTGGTCTCTGGGTTGTAGTTTGCAGACTCGATCTAGACCAACTTCCTTATTCTGTAAGTAAGAATTCTGAGATCTAGAGAGGTTAAGTAACTTGTTTAACTGATAAAGTATGCAAGGTTATTGAGATTTTTAATAGAATAATTTTAAAAATATTCCTGCCTATATAAGAAACGATTAATTTATAAAATAATCCTGTTATTTCATAGGGCAGAATACTCTTTTATTGGGGCCTACAATTGAGAAGACAACTTGATGCTTAACTAATTGTTCTCAAGCCCACCATTTTGATGTCATCCTTTTTTCCCTGGTTTATTCGACAGATATTTGTTGAATATGTATGTCAGGCACTGTCCAGTCATTTTGACAGAAAAATGTTTCATCATAAGATTCTTGTTGTTAAAAAAGAGAGAGATGATTCACCTTTAAGATCTTATTTCACTTAGCATGAAAAATATGGCAAAGTGAGCAGAGTATGTTGCTAGTCTAGCAGCATTTGAAACCCACTTTAAGGGTTTGTTTTCTGACTTTGGGAGCTAGTGACCTAAAACGTTTATTTGAGCTCTGTTTTGAGAATAGTTTTCTCTTTGTCAGGGCGCGTCTAAGGTTTTTAATCGATTTACATTGAACTTGCTGAAATTCTAGTCATACCCTCTTTTTAGATCTTTTCCAAATCTGACTCTCCAAGTCTGGTATCTGCAGAGTTCTGGCACTGCAACGCATGCTGCTTCCAAGAAACTCCCAGTTGAAGGTTATTATGATAGTTGACTACTGCTCCTCTGTCAGTTTGTCATACTGTAGTGGCTTGTGTGTCGCTGTGATGGTGAATACTCTGCCATCAATATTTTAAATGCCTGCAGCATCACCCATGGTGGGCAGGTTTCAGTAAGAGTTTTTAGACTAAGACAGACTAGGAAGAATGAGAGGTGGACTACTTCTGAATGCTTAGCCATTGGAACCTTTTGAATAGCAGTGGAGCACTGTCAGATAGTCACAGAATCTTGAATACTGAAACATTATGAATAGCAACAATTGTGAGGATAGTGCAGGATCAGGCAGTGCTTCATTGTGTTGTACATAGGGTTGTTGTGAGTTGGAACCAACTCGACAGCACCCAACAACAACAATAAATGATGGTGGGAGGGATGGTGATGATGATAGTGATAATAACAGCCAATATTATTTGACTGTTTACTATCACCAAGAAATTTTGCCTGCATACACATTTCTTTCTTTCTTGTTACTGTAGATGAACTCTTCAAGCTGCCACTAAAGGCCAACCTTTCACTTGCACTCAAGATCACCCTCTTGCACCTGTTTAAGGATATCATGCCAGCAAAATCCTCTTCTCTCTCTCCCATTATGACTTCTTTTTCCCTCCTGCTGAATTACTCTCATGGACATAGAGACATACTCCCTCATTTCCTATCTTTAAAAAAATGATTTTGGCTTCCTATTTTTGGCCTGTTAAAGGGGCCCTGGTGGCACAGTAGTTAAACACTTGAGTACAACAAGACTTTTAGAAAAAAAGAGTCATCTGTACTCTTTGTTTGTTTCACTGCTTTTTCTTCACCTTTTTTCACTATCGAACTCACCAAAATCACACTGCACATCCGCTCTTCCACTTCTCTACCCGACAACTTTAGTCAAGGTCACCAGTAACTTCTGTCTTGCTAAATTTGTCTTGGTCTCTCAACACCACTTGACGTAAATAAATATGCTCCTCAGTTCTTTGCCCAATTCTTGAACTACTTTCTTCGTGACATCCACTACCTTGGTGTCTCATTTTTGTTTCCTTTGCTGGGGTTTCCTCATATCCATGATCTCTAAACAAACATAGAGTTCCCCAAGATTAATTCCTTTGGCTTTTTATCGACTTTTACTCTTTTCCCGAATTATCTTACCCAGTCTCGTGGTTTAAATATCTATATTCTTGCAATTCCATAATAGATAATCTCTAGTTCATTCCTACCCTCCGACTCTAGATTTGTAACTCTTCCTGTCTACTTGGATTCTTCATTTTCAAGTCTAAAAAGCATCTCAAATTTTGCATGTCCAAGATTATACTGTTGAATTTCTAGACACCCTCATCTCAGTAATAAATAGCACTCAATTCTTGTACTTGATCAAACAAAAAACATTAAGCATATTCCTTGACTCCTCTTCTACACACACCCACATTCGATCCATCAGCAAAATTGTGAGCTCTCCCCTCAGGTTCTCCAGGGTTAGCGTTAGCAGTCCAACTTGTAACCATACCAGAGGTCCTACACTACCAGAGCTTACTCTGTTGTTGTTGTTGTTATTGTTAAGTGCTGTTGAGTCAGTTTCGAACCATAGCGACGCTGAACAGGGTTTCCGAGGCTGTAAATCTTTACGGGAGCAGAACGCCTCATCTTTCTCCCATGGAGCAGCTGGTAGTTTCGAACTGCTGACCTTGTGGTTCACAGCCCGATTTGTAACCACTACCCTACCAGAGCTCCTTAGTATGAGTAGGTTATAGTTAGAGCAATGGTAGAAATGTAGTTAAAAGCGGGGAATAAGAGGATTTTAGATTCCATACTTAATCTCTGGACTTGAGGCTGCTTGTCTTCAGCGTTTTTTCCACTTTAACATGAGTATCTTTGCCAAGCAGGACATTGAAAGTTCCCTATGGCAATAGTTCTCTATAAAGGGAGAGGAATTAGACCAAGTTGCAGGCCCCAAGATGATCAGCTATGTTCACCTTCCATTCCTGACCAAACCCACAAACAAACATAAGACTCATACTAACCTTCCATTGAGTATCACTGTTTCAGATTTTGAGCAACCAGAATAGATTTTAAAGCTGTGATCCTGCTGGATTTGTGTTTTAGAAAGGTAGTTTTGGTGGCTGTCTTAGTTATGTAATGTTGCTATAACAGAAATGCCTCATGTGGATGGCTTTAACAACCATAAATTCATTCTCCCGCAGTTGAGACTAGAAGTCCAAATTCAGAGTGCCAGCTCTTGGGAAAGGTTTTCTCTTTGTTGGCTCTGGCCTTTCAGGATATGTCGACCCACTGGAGAGCTCCATAAACACTGGCATTAATCTTTCCCATGTTCTAGACGCTTCAAAGTGCAGGGACTCCAGGTCCAAAGGACACATTCTACTCTGGCTCTTCTGTCTTGTTAGTAGTAGGTCCCACTTTCTCTATTCAAGCCTCCTTGCAGCCTTGGGATTCTCCCATAAATCAAATCAGGGTGGTAGTGAGCTTAAGAGTGGCATATCCCACCTTGACTCCTCTCATTAGTTTATCATATCAAACACATCCTGGGGGATAGCTACATCCCAACTGCCAAACCACTGAGAATACTCACCTAGTAGAGTTGACACCAAACCTTATCTATTCTAGGAGCATTGCTAGGAGTTGGTTATTTAGTTGTTTTATATGAGATGCTGAAGAATAAGGTGTTTATGAGTGTTTAAAGACGTGAGATATTTTGGGAATCGTTTCTGGATCACCTCAGTTGCTAGAGGAGGGGAGTACTTCACAGAATGATTAAGAAGAATGATTTTTTTTAAAAAAGGATTATTCAAAGTTAACAGTGCCATTGATAGTCCTCTGGTGGTGGTGACTATGTGATGTCGAGTTGGTTCCAAAGCCACCTTTATAAGGTTTCTGAGGCTGTAAATCTTTATGGGAGCAGAAAGCCTCGTCTTTCTCACATGGAGTAGCTGTTGGATTTGAACTGCTGATCGTGCGGTTAGCAACCTACTATATCACCCGGAGTCCTTTTGATAGTCCTATTGTTACTGTTCTTGTTGTTGTTATGTTCTGTCAAGTCAGTTCCAACTCGTAGCAATCCAGTACAGAGTTTCTGAGGTTTTTTAAATCTTCACAGGAGCAGAAAATCTCATCTGTCCCCTGCGGAACGGCTGGCAGGCTCAAACCCTGGACCCTGTGGTTAGCATTCCAGTGCTTGGTTAATAAAATTACTAAATGCTTATTCCCATTCTTTTCTAATTCTCTAGGAACGCCTTTTTACCCAAGTCAGCCAGTGTATCAGTCAGCACCTATCATAGTGCCTACGCAGCAGCAGCCCCCTCCAGCCAAGAGAGAAAAAAAAACAGTAAGAGATCTTTCTCTATGTATCTTTTAAAGAGTGATTGAAAGTCCATTCACTTGCCACATAGGTTTCTCCATAGCTGCAATCATTACTCATCTTAGTTCACAAGTGACTGAGCCATTTGTATTTCTTCCTTATATCCTCATCTCTAGACCTACAGGGTTTGTATGGGCATATAGCTAAAAATTACAGGTACTTTGTGCTTAGGGTCAGGTTTCAACACAAAAACCTGCCTTCCAGCTTCAGAACTGGAGGATTCAGTCTGCCAAAGTCTTGCCTAATATTAGGGAGAAGTTTGAACTCCCTTCTCACATCATGACTACTGTTCTTTAATATCAGTCCTAAACAGGTCTCCATCCAAGTCTAAACTAAAAAGGGGAAAATTAGCAAAGTACAAAGGTGCAAAGTATAAAGGACACAAGAAAAATCATTCCTGTGGAATAGGTTTATTTTAAGAAACAGTCAGCGGAATTTAAAAAATATATTCTAATTGTATTGACTAAGTTACAGGCTGATACAGAGGTGTCTGATACAGAGGTGTCCTGGAAGAGTGAGAGGGAATAATGTAAAATTTACATTGCAGAACCTTCTGTAAAAGAGTAGTTGGCATTCTTTTATCCATCATAACACACAAAATGGGTATTTATAATAAAGAATCCAACATCCATACAGGTAAAATAGGTCGGAGTGATACTAAAGCAAGCAGTGGCCCTGAAAATACTATTAATCTCATAAAAATTTATGAGGCTCACAATCTTTGTTATTTTATATACTAACAGCAAATTACTTGTGCATAGGTCCCAATAAATGGGACATGCCAGTATATCATGACACTGCAGTTGAAAATTATGTTGTGAAAATGTTCCGTTGGTATGGTAGAAGTTGGATTTGAAGAACATTCTCAGAATGCAGAAAAATGAATTTAAAGTTAATGAAAATGGAAGACAGTAGTAACTGATGTTATAAAAGGAAAAGGTAGAGCAAATGAATTAGAAGCAGTATGTAAAACTCATAGAAATAAGTTTTCATATATGAAAAGGCTATGATTGAAATCTAACTGAGAAAAACTCCCAGATCCAGAGATTTTATTAGTGAATTATTTGAAAATCTCAAGAAGCCCTGACTACTTGATAAAGCTCTGAAGTTACAACAGGCAACATGGGCCTATCATGGATCAGCACTGTCCCAGAACAGAGGACAAATCCCAGGTACTCACACCATCTCCATTGCAGCACCATCCTTAACTGGTATCTACAAGCATCCTTTTGGAAAATTAAAATAAGACCATACACTTTTCTGCATCTTGCACCTTTTCACTTATTTAATACATCTTGAGTATCATCCCATATCAATAGTTATAGAACTATCTTGTTTTTTCTGTTGGTTCATAGTATTTAATTTTAAGGAAATAGCATAATTTTTCAACTATTCAGGTCTCGTGAACTTTTAGAATGTTTGTATCTGTTTGCAGAAGAAATATACTACTGCAGTGATCATACTTACATATATATTAGGTTATCTGCAGAAGAAACTTCTATTTTAAGTGATAGAACATGTACTTTTTTCAATTTTCAGATAACTTCAAAGAACCATTTAAAACTTTATTTACAGAGGAACTTCCAAATATTAGAAATAGATCCTTGGCTTTCGCTGTTGCTGTTGTCTGCCATCGAGTTGATTCTGACTCACAGTGACCTTGTATAGAGTTTCTGAGAGCAGCTGGTGGGTTTCAACTGCCAACATGGTGGTTACCAGTTTAGTGCTTATCCTAAAGTGCCGCACCAGGGCTTATTTTATGTTAAGCATTATAAATATCATTCTATTTGATAGTGCTTATGAAACCAAGTACAGCTCAAAATGAGAAGAAAGAGCTATAAAAATCCATGAATAATCAGAGCATTTACTGTACGACGTGTGAATATAGGCAATTGGAATCGTTAAAACTAAGTGGAGCACATAAAAATCATTATCTTAGGCATTAGTAATATAAAATGCACTGGTATTGACCATTTTGGATCTAACAACCACTCAGTTTACTCTGCCAGGAAAAACAAATTGAAGAGGAATGACAAAATGAATGGCATCAACTAGAAATCAACAATAGGAAGTTCAAGAGGAAAATGAATTAATGTGAAAATTGAAGAGAGCTCTGCTTTAAAGCTACTGGGTAATAGAACAATAAAAAATGAAATAAAAATTTATTGAATCAAATGAGAGTGAAAACAAAACATACCAAAACTTTTGGTACACAGCAAAAGCAATCTTTAAAGGAAAATTTATAGTAATAAACATACATCTAAAACAAAGGACGAAAATCAATACATTTATACCACATCGTCAACAATTAGAATAAGAGTAACAAAGTAAGCCTAAGATTAACAGAAGAAAAGAAGTAATAAGTATTACAGGAGAAATAAATGAAGAAGAAAACCAATAGGCAAAATAAACAAGATGAAGTTCTTTCTTTGAAATGATTAATAAAATTGACAAACCACTGGCAACTCTAACAAAAGAAAAGATGGAGAAGATGCAAATAACATGCATAAGCAATTATATGTGTGACATCACAACCAAACCAATGGAAATAAAAAGGTCAATAACAGAATACTATGAAGAATTGTCTGCCCCTGGCCTTGTTTTCACTGATGATATAGAGCTTTTCCATCTTCTCTTTCCACAGATGTAGTCAATTTGATTTCTGTGTGTT